GCGTCTTCTCCCTCTCCTCCTCCTCCTCCACTTTCCTCCTCCTCCTCCTCCTGCTCCTCCCCCCGAGCCTTCAAACTCATTCAAACAATTTCCTCTCTTCCTCCATCGCCCTCGCCGCCAACCACCTGCAATGACCGAAAGCGAGAGAGAGAGAGAGAGAGAGAGAGAGAGAGAGAGAGAGAGAGAGAGAGAGAGAGAAGAGAGAGAGAGAGAGAGAGAGAGAGAGAGGAGAGAGACGCACGAAGGAGAGTGACGACGAGAAAGAGGAAAAGAAGACATGTGTCCTTTCTACTAAAAAAGAAAGAACAAGACAAGACCAGAAGCAAAAGCGCACCCCGAGTCTTTGACCGAACAATGGAACAACGAAGCAATCCGAACACCTCCTTGCCCGGACGACCGTGCCGCCCGGCAAGGCTTCCGAGACGCCAACGCTCCGTAAGCTCTCCCGTTTGATCAGTCGGAGATTGATTATCGAGTGTTTATCAGTGATATGAAGTCACGAAGGAAGTGAACGATTGGAAGATGCAAAGAAGAAAATAATCACGTTTTTTCTACTCCACACTGTTTTTATTCCCTCTGACTCTGTTGGTAAGTGAGTTGTCATACACATCACATCACCAATTTCTCCGTACTCAAGTGATAATCAGCAGAAACTTTTTTTCTCGGGTTTCATCATCCGTGTATGTAAATGATCAACATGTTAGCATAACACCCACAGCATCAAAGGTATGTTAGGCTTCTCAACTTTTGGAGTTTTATCTGATTTATAAGCTTCATCTATAGATATATGTTACATATAACAAAGCTTTACATAGTTCTGAAGCCCGGATGGCTCGCTGTGACAGGCGCAGAGAAATTATCTTTCATAGAATTCTAAACGAGTGTCCCAAGATATCCCGCCTATATATTTATCTGATGTAGTATATATATATATAATATATATATATATATATATATATATATATAGATATATATATATTAATAAGATATATATATATAAAAGTCATAATATACATATGAATACATGAATATAATAATAAAGTATTATATATATATATAATATATATATATGTTAAATATATAGAAAGATTTAGATAGCGATACGAAAGGCATGTGCATGCACACAGGCGAACGCAGAGCCTGTTGCGGCTGCGCTGCTGTCGGCCAAGATGGCCTTATCAAGTGAAGGCGCCTCACGACGGGGGCCCACACATCTGGTAGTCGCTCTTAGTGTCAACAACCTGTAGATTCCCTATAGTGAGATGCGCCGGCAATTTCTCCGGCAATAATTATATAATCGGAGATGCCATAGCGATACTACGCTCTAGTTGTATACCTATTTACCGCAATTGTAGAATGCATGCATGTACGTGTATTTATAGAGAGGTCTATTCGGCAGCATAAATGATGACTATGTATATGAAATGCTTATACGATGATATAATAATGCATGTATATGTACATATGTTTTATATATATATATATAAAAATCTATATGTTATATATTAATAAATATATACAGTGATGAAGCGGCATGTGATATATATATACAATAGCGCCATAATACTGGTATATATATGTAACGTGGAGGTGTTCCGGGGTCTTGTGTGTGTGCGTGTGTTGCCTTTTGTTAGGTACAGTGTTAGAGGTGCGGCCCTGCATGTGTGTACGTGAGCTTATTGTATGTAGATTATGTATGATGTATGTATGTATGTATGGTATATATGTATATATATATATATATATATATAATATATATATATAATATATTGTGTGTGTGTGTGTGTGTGTGTGGTGTGTGTGTGTGTGTGTGTGTGTGTGTGTGTGTGTGTGTATTATGTGTATGTATAAGTATATTATATACATATTATGTATAATTATATATATATATATAATATATATATATATTATATATATAAATATATATATATAATATATACACACATACGTACACATTATCATGTATACATGTGATAGAAAATATGTATTTATATATTTTCAATAGTACGAGTTAGAAGCAATAGTTATTATAATTATATATAATACAAGTCATGAATATAATATATATATTCAGATAGGGTACTCAATTTAACAAGAAACGATAATGTATACACACTGAACCATATTGATTATGCTTTTGATGAAAGGACAAACAATCTAAAATACCGGATACTAAAGACGGTTCGCATAGACGAATCCATAGAACACATCGTTATGCCTTGTACCACCCAACCCCAAGCCACCAAGATTAGCACGAAGCCAGGACGCATAAATAATGACACACACTAAACACACACACACACTACATACGACTTAGTGCAGCAAAAACCGCAGAAGGAGAGAGAGCACGATCTGCTGCCGGAGACCCGATTAGAGTCGATACAGAGGGTGTGATAGTCCAAAAAAGAAGAAGGGGAGGTGAGAAGCGCGGCAAAGGGGGGGGGTGAGTTTTTTTTGTTGTGTCCTCTCCTTCCCCCACCTGCGCTCCGATATGTAATTCTATCGTTATTCGTCTGACCGAATCTGACACCAGAGACTTCTGCTTTCGTTTTATTGTCTTTTTTGCATTTGGTATTTTGAAGCGAATGTGACGGTGAGGAGTTATTTTAATCAATGATTCTTATTTCCACCATTCACATTGCCTATTACACATAGCGCCGGGGATAAACTCTTATCACTTTCATTATTACAGCTATGCTAATCTGTTTTATATGCTGCATGATCAAATAAATAGTTACGTATAATTTCTCTATCGTTTCAATCTGTTATTATTAAATACTTTTTGCGAATACCAACATAATTAATCACAATCATCTTCATCAAAGTCATAAAGTGATTTACATTTTTTAAAAAATTACTATTCCCGCTGATTATACTTAGTAAAATTTCCCGCTGCACAAGAAAAAAAGTACTTTTCGATATCTATCAGTAGCCATTAACACTGGTTATAAATATTTTCATCATTATCTTTTTTCATGTGTTATTTGTTGATCATTTTTTTGAAGTTCTGAATCGTTGAAATAAAGACAGACGACTTTTAAAAAATGCTCAACTTGCAGACGATAATCAAACTAATTATCATCAGATTTTCTGGTTGGTTCATAGGTTTATTATTGTTATTGTTTTTCTCATTATTATTAAGATCATTTTCAATCTTTTATTGATATTATCCTTATCATTATTGATTCCGTGAGACTCATTGACGTCAGTGATACCAGACGGAGTAGAATTTAGAACTTCCGACTTTACGCTGAGACGTTCATAGGTTCATTTTCCTTTGAAAGACTGACAGACGGATCTAAGAGGTAGATGTGAGCGAAAAGAAATGCACTTTTTGTACCTTTTTGAAACATTTAGCGAAATGCACAGAATTACGAACCACTGTAATAAACAAAGTTAGAATGAAACACATATCTCCTTTTTCATTAAAATGGAACTGATATTCTAATTAATATTCGTCCTTTTCACTACGTAGGTGACAATGCATTTAATACTCATCAATTCATTAGCATTGTTAACTTTTCCCACTGATTTAAGAACAGTAATCAGTTTTAATTTTCTCAAAAAACATAGAGATCTAGAGGGAATTATTTTACTTTAGGGTCGTTATGCCTGATTTATATGACGTATGATATAAGCACATGTTATAGTGCTGTAATAGTGCCAAATGGTTGTTGTACATAATACGTAGCGTTGTACAAAGCTGTACAGGATGATCTTTGGTCTGCCCCCACACCCCCACCATCCCTCCCCCTCCCCTATTCCCTCCCCCCACCCTCACCCTACCCACCCGACTTCCCTTCCCTTATCATCTTTCCATCTTTCTTCACCCCTCACCCACCCCCTGATACTATCTAATAACTTAAAAGGATATTATGCACATTACGATTATAATTTTAGGTTTTAATATTTAAGTCTGCAAGCACGGCGGTTTCGTAGAGCCCGCTGTTACCCTGTAGCCGTGAGACAAGCAATCGTGAGAGAGATTTTAAGATGGAAGATGTTGAACTGAAAGATGTTTTCTACCCCATCTCGATCTCAGTGACCTTTTTTTTTATTTTCCTTTCTCCTCCTCTTCCTCCTTTCTTCTATCTTCTCTCCGAGTATTTCCATGGCCTATATTCTTCTAAGATACCGATTTCTATATAAAAAGAATATTGTACATGCTTTTTTTTTCTTTCCTTTCTAGTGAATGATTATTGAGTTGTTCGGGAGCCGTGGAAAGGTAACATGTATAATGTTAAATGAAAAAAAATGTAAAAAAAAGTCTTTCAAAAGAGTTGGAATAATTGATTTTGTTATAGGAAATTGAACATTCAGTTGTGTTGTTCGATGATGGTGATGTACAATAAGGAACTTTATATGGATATGCCGTATAGTATTCAAACCTCATGAACGGAAAACGTGACTATAAACATTTCAGAAATGTACCTTTTTTGCCCCGTTTAATTATGTTTTTTTTTATATATACTGTAATTACTTATTTTATTTCAGTTTCCTATTCCTTCTTAACGAAAAACCCCACATGTTATCTTTAGAAGTTACTTAAGTATTATTTCCTCCTCTTGTGGACACGCCTACGTTCCTCCTTTATCATAAGTTCTTCAAAGACTGATTTTCTATCTTTTATTTATCTTTTTATTTTTTTTTTATTATTATTTTTTTTTTTGTCTTCAGAGGTTCTTATCGTCGTTTGTCTGGTTTTCTGAATGAGATGTAAAGGTTTTCCCAAACTTTTTAGCAATTAGATAGTTTTGAATAAAGAAACCAAATAGATATTTCTGTTTCATTTACCCGTTAATAAATCTATCATTATACAACGTGAAAAAATATCACACAGAGACACACACACACATATACATACATACATATATATATATGTATGTATATATGTATATATATATGTATATATGTATATATATATATATATATATATATATATATAATATATATATATATATATATATCTGTATATATACATACATACCACACATATATAT